GTCGATTTCTTCTTCAATGTCTGTCATCCCATCGTCCTCTTCATCGTTGTAGGCCTCTCCAGAAGTCTGGCCTTCTTCACATACCAGCATGCAGGCTTCTCCTTCGTTGTCCTCCCTCTCTTTTTCCTTTTCTTTATTCTTGAATTCATTTGCCAGTAGGTAATTATTGGCCATGACAGGAGGCAACGTACCGAATTGGATAGCAAGGGGCTGGTCTGGATCTTCTTCATCCCTTTTGTCCCTCTCAAACCTTGACCTCCCAGAAGAGGTTTCTGGCAGTTCCTTCATTGATTCATCTGTACCAATCTCTTTACTACCTTTGAGGACGTTCTGATTGGCTACCTTAAGTAATAGAGGCGCTTTAGGATGTGGCATTCCTTGTTGCTGCCTCATCATCCGTCCGTAGTTTCGCTGGAAACGCCTTTGTTGAGTCCTGGTCATCTCATCAAAGGGTATTGCTCTTCCTGCAGTGTACTGGAATGAATGCCATACATTTGGCCGGCGAGGTTGCGGCCTAAATGTTCTTCCAACATCTTGAATGTTTGGGAAGAAGGCAGGGCGATGAGGATGCTGCCATGTCTCTGGTTTCTCCGTGTCTCCATTTACTTCCCTTTTACACCTTGCGCACAGGACGTTTTCGTCCTTTTTTGGTTCTTTCCCTTTGATTCGTTCGAAGATACTGGGATGTGTTTTAGTGTCTTCTTCTCCATCGTCTATGACCAACTTGAATTTTGGCAACTTGTTCTTGAACCCAGACGTTACCATATTTACCCCAAGTGGCTGTGGGAAAGGATTCTCGTCCACTGCCATCTTTTTCTTATCGTCGAACGTAATTCGACCTGATTCAATAGCATCCTGCAATACGTGACGGAAAACCAAGCAATTGTTAGTCAAATGTGACCATGCATTATGCCACTTACAATATACTGGGATGTGTTTTAGTATCTTCTTCTCCATCGTCTATGACCAACTTAAATTTTGGCAACTTGTTCTTGAACCCAGACGTTACCATATTTACCCCAAGTGGCTGTGGGAAAGGATTCTCGTCCACTGCCATCTTTTTCTTATCGTCGAACGTAATTCGACCTGATTCAATAGCATCCTGCAATACGTGACGGAAAACCAAGCAATTGTTAGTCAAATGTGACCATGCATTATGCCACTTACAATATTTTTTAGGGTTTGACAATTTGTATTTATCGCTCAACTTTATTTGCTTATCCCTATATAATTTATCGAATATAAGGTCAGCTTTGATCACATCGAACGAGAACGTTCTAGCCTTTATGTTTCCTTCCTTTATGGGCTCATCTTTGCCCGATGGTCTAGGCTTGGCCATTATGGGACAAGTATATGTATCCCCTTTTACCAATTCGGCCAAACATATTTCAGCCTGATCGTATGATTCGTCGTCGATGGTATGAACGTCAAAATTTGGGTCTCTGTAATCAGTCCCTTTACTAGAATTTTTCATTTGTTCTTCTTCTCTTATCAGTCGTTCATATCTAATCACATTCGTACTCAACTGGAAAAGGTCAGGAAATTTCTTGTCCTGGAACTTCTTTTTTAAATCAAAGCTCAAGCAGCCTTGTACGATCTTGACAAATTCTTTTTCGGGCAGAGGTACAAAACACTTGCTTCTTGCTGTTTTGAACCTTTGGAGAAAACTTTCTGCCCATTCATTTGGCATTTGACGTAGATTCGCCAAATCAGCCAAAGTGACTTCAGACTCAATTTTATAAAACTGAGCATTAAATAACTGTTCCAGTTGTTGCCATGTTTGAACAGAGTTCGCTGGCAAGTTGATGAACCAGGAGAAAGCTACTCCTGTTAACGAACTAGGGAAAAGTCTCATTTTATGGTAATCGGTTACATCACCACTTTGCAACGTGAATCGCCCTATGTGTTCTAGAGTAGACACCTCTCCTAAACCAGTAAACAGTGAGAATTCTGGCACTTTGTACCCTCTAGGCCATGGATATGCTTGGTCTACCCAATCAGGATATGGTTTTGTGTACGTC